TTGAATCCGTCTTCCAATGCAGCGGTGAAGAGTTTCGGGGATATGACGTCACCCTGTCTTACACCTCTCTGCAATTGGATAGGTTTCGTACTCCGGTTCTGTACTCGGATAGCCATCGTAGCCCTACTGTACAAGCACTTCAACACTTCAATATACCGACAGTCAACTTGGCACCGCTGAAGGGACTGCAGCACCGCCCAAATTTCGACGGAATCAAAGGCTTTCTCATAGTCTACATACGCCAGACATAGTGGCAAATTGTACTCTTCGGACTTCTGTACAATTTGCCAAAGGGTATGTATGTGGTCTATGGTGCTAAAGCCCTTTCGGAAACTGACTTGTTCGGGAGGCTGGAAGTCGTCAAGTCTGCGCGCGAGACGATTCGTAATGACTCTCGAAAACAGCACGTAGACGCGGCTCAGATGGTAAATCGGTCTGTAGTTCTTCAAGAGAGCGTTGTCACCTTTCTTGAAGAACAAGACCACCGCACTTCTGCTCCACGCCTCCGGTGTAATGCCACCATGGAGGACGGAATTAAAGAGCTTCTGAAGGACTTCAAGTACCGGTCTTCCACCCGCTTTCAGAAGCTCCGCTGTAATTCCATCCTCGCCTGGGGCCTTACCGTTTTTAAGGTGCTGGAGAGCCATTCTAATCTCGCTCAGACTGACGTCCGTGATATCTTCGGAATATTGTCGGATGAGACTCGCTCTTGGATCGTTACTCACACTTGCGTGTGGCTCCAACGATGACGTGTACAGCTGCCCATAGAACCTCTCAATCTCACTCAAAATCTCAAGTGTCCCGGAAACGATGCTGCCACATTCTGTCTTCAGCTTTGACAGGTGGCTCTTTCTGGCAGACAGATCTCTGGCAAAGACTTTGGAGCCTTGGTTCCGCTCGATCGCTTCTTCAATACGAGCTGTATTGAAGTTGCGTAAGTCCCGCCGCATGCATTTGGAGATCTGTCTGTTCAGATGCCTGTATGCTGTCAAGTCTGTTGAAGAATGTAGCTTCATCTCCCGTCTAACAGCCATGAGATTAAGAGTGTGATCGGAGAGTTTTTGTGTTCTTCTGCGGCGGGTCTCGCAGAACTTAGCTACGACCGCATGGACAGTTTCCACGAGCTTGTCATTCATATCGTCCACTTCATTGCAGTCTTCTAGGCACTGAAAACGGTTTTGTAACTCGAGCTGAAAGGTTTCGGGACTTTGGATTAGAGCACTAGGGGGACGGAGCGTTGACTTAATTAGACGAGACCTCTCCAACTTAACGTTTAGGTTCAGTGTGCCTTTAACCATTCGGTGATCGCGACCAGTTTTCACCCTCGCGATCACGGAGACATCACTGAACAGTTGTCGTCTGGTCGTCATAATGAAGTCAATCTCATTTTTTGTCGAACCGTCGGGGCTCGACCAGGTCCACTTCCTGTGGGACCGCTTCTGGAAGAAAGAGTTCATCATAAAGAGTCCCTCTTTCTCCATGAAGTCGGCCAGCTGCTGGCCCCTTGGGTTCCGTTGCCCTATTCCAAATTATTATATATTCTTTTGTATAGTGCAATTTAATTTCTTATATATTAAGCCTTTAGACACGAAAAATAATAAACAGGGCATGTTACCGTGACGTGGCCGCGGAGCGAATGAGGCTACGCGCGCCGCGCCACGACGTTTTATATTTATAGTACTGAGGCGGGGGGCAGGGTCCTCAGCTCAAAATTGCTGGAAAAACAACCTTTTAACCATTAGTATATAGAATAATTGTTGTGTAAATATTAGTTTAATAAGTAGTTGTAAGAATGTTATATATTTAAGTCTGTTCGTTAGTTTATAAGAAATTTAACTAATAAAGAAAGGCGCGGGGGTGAGGCAAGGGTCCGCTGGCCAGCAACGGCCTAATCATATATAAGACGGGCCGGCCGGAACGGTCGGCAGTCGCTCTCCAGCTACAGAAAAGAAAACAACAGCAAGAAAAGAAAAAGTTCCTCCTCACCGCCGCTTGCCTCCAGTTTAAGCAAGACCAACGTGTTTCACTCATTTTTCGAAAGGCGTTACGGCGATCCGTAACATTAATGGTCCTTCGAGAAGCCTGATTACTAGAAGAAAAAGACAATATCGGTCTTGGTATTGCCGGAAGAAAGAAGCAAACCGCAAGAACGAAAAAATATTATTGTGAAGAAAAATGGTGATTACGCGTAGTAACAACGGAGAATCATCGAAGCGTCGCAAGGATGAACAAATAACCCAGGGGGCCACAGAAGAAGCCTCTGGGGGCGATTCAACCGCTACTGGTACATCCAACACCACGAGCGAAACCACAACGGTCAGCGATAAAACCGCTACCTCTGCGACCGATAACACGGACGCAACGGAAGAAACCCAGCAAGAGAGGGATCGAAGATCGCAGCGCACACTAAGGCCCGACGAGACTAGGTCGCGCCGCTCCGTAGCCTCACGCAAGAGACTCCTCGCGGAGTTAGAGGCGAAAGAGCGGTTAGCCGAACTCAAGCTCGAGCAGGCTCAGTTGCAAGCAAGAACGGAATTGCAAGAAATACACGTGCAGCGATTACAAGCAGAAGTCGGATCAACCGATGACGAAGATGAAGAAATAGAAGACGATTTAGCATCAGTACGCATTAGTACATGGTTGCAAGAAAAACCTACATCGCAACCAGTGCCGCAGCCTGCGCCGCAACCCACGTCGCACTTCGCATCGCAACCCGCTCCGCAGTCTACATCGCAACCCGTGCCGCAGCCCGCGCCGCAACCCGCGCCGCACCCCGCTCCGCAGTTTGCATCACAACCCGCGCCGCAGAAAGAAGACAATGGGCAGGCGCAGCAACAAATCGACGTCGCTACCTAAGCCGCTGCTCTATCACAAGCAGTACGAAGCACAAGGGAGCCGCCGAAATATGTGCAAGAGCTACCTCCATTCAATGGTAGCAGCAAAGAATGGCTCAGCTTCAAAACAACGTACGAAGAATCTTCAAAGTACTTCACGATGAACGAAAACATAGCGAGAATACGCCGAAGCTTAAAAGGGACAGCAAAAGAAGCCGCCGGTTGCCTACTTATAAGCCAACCAAATCCCAGCCTGATAATGGAAGCTTTGGAAAGGAGATTCGGACGACCAGAGGCGTTAATCCACTTGGAAATAGAGAAGTTGAAGCTGCTGAACAAAGTTACGGACAATCCCAGGGAGCTATGCATATTCGCAAATCGCATAGCAAACGTAGTGGGCACCGTGGAAGCACTCAAGATAGCACACTATCTGCATAGTCCGGAAATGACGCGAGTTATCACAGACAAACTCACGCCTATATTGAGAAGCAAATGGTACGACTTTGCAGCCAGAAAGAAAGAAGATATCTCAGAGCTTAAGAAGATATCAATGTTCTTAAACGATGAAGCGAACAAATGCAGCGCGTATGCCTTGCCGGAGTTCATAGCAGAGGACAGCGAGACGAGAGAGCGAAGACCAAGAAAACTAGAACGTGCGTTCGCCACAAGCAAGAAACAATATAAAGAACGCTGCCCTCAATGCAAACAAGAACACAAACTGCCCGATTGCAAGTCATACGCCGCTCTGTCCACTAATGACAGATGGGAAGTAGCAAAGAAGAATAATATATGCTACCGCTGTCTGCGAGGTAAACATCGCCGATTGCTGTGTAAAGCTCCACCGTGCAGAAAAGGCGGATGCATGATGAAACACCATAAATTGCTGCATCACGATAGAACAGCAGAAATTGAAAAGGAACCCGCTATGGAAACCGCAACATCGGCAAGGGAGGTCATCACAGCGACTCAACCGTACAAGCACCGCCGCGCTTATCTAAAGATTGCGCCCGTAACAATAAGGAGGCCGCTAAGCTGCGTCGAAACATACGCATTATTGGATGAAGGAAGCACGGTCACCTTAGTCGATGCCTCAATCGCTGACGTCATCAGCGCCGACGGCCCAGCCCACGCAATGTGGATACAAGGGGTCGGCTCGGAGGTGAAACATGAGAAGAGCAAGATCGTCAGCCTTAAAATAAGAGGAAAGTACGCGCAAAAGGAACACAACATAGAAGCAGCGCGTACGGTAAAGCGGTTGGACTTCGCGCCAGAATCCGTGAATGAAAATCACTTGGAGAATTGCCAACATCTATTGGATATCAAAGAAGATATCACCTACGAACGCGCCTCACCGAAAATACTGATCGGACAAGATAACTGGCACCTCATAGTGTCTAGAAAACTGCGCGTCGGTCGTCGAAACCAACCAGTCGCCTCACACACCAACCTGGGCTGGGTTCTGCATGGCTGTCATAGCTCATTGACGTTGACGGTCACCTTCTGCGGCAGACTACATCAGAGGGAAGATACACAGCCGATAGAAGAGGAAATAAAAAATTATTTCAAATTGGAATCGCTGTGCATCGAGCCAAGAAGACCGAAAGAAGATCTCGAGCAGCGAGCTATGCAAATGTTGAAGGAAACCAGCCAGAGGTCGGCGGACGGCAGATTCGAAACAGGGTTGTTGTGGAAACAAAAGGATTTCCAAATACCAAATAATTACAAGGACGCGGAAAGGCGCCTGCACACTTAGAGAAGAGGCTCGACCGAGACAGCAATCTCAAGCTACAGTACGAAGAACGCATACAGAACCTTTTCAACTCGGGTTACGCAGAGCGCGCGCCCATGCCACCGCCGCAAGGAAGGACATGGTATCTGCCACACTTCCCAGTCATCAACCCTGCGAAACCAAACAAGCCGCCGAGATTGGTGCACGACGCCGCAGCGAAGACAGCCGGAATATGTCTCAACGATATGCTTCACTCGGGGCCCGACTTGTTACAATTATTGCCCGAAGTAATCATGAGGTTCTGACAGTATCCGTATGCAGTGAGCGCCGACATAAAAGAAATGTTCATGCAGATCAAAGTGCGCAAAGAAGATAGAGACGTTTTACGTTTCTTATGGAGAGGCAAGCGGCGGGAGGACCAACCGGAAGAATATAGGATGACATCAATCATCTTTGGAGCGACATCATCACCGTGCACAGCATTATACAACAAAAATAAAAATGCTGAAGAACATGCAGAAGCATACCCAGAAGCTGCGGTCGCCATAAAAAGAAATCACTATATGGACGACTACTTGCAGAGCTTCCACTCTGTCACGGAAGCTCAGCAAACGGTAAAAGCAGTCGATCACGTCCACAAACAAGCGGGATTCGTACTCAGCGCGTGGACATCGAACGAAGCGAAAACAATAGAAGAAATAACGAAAGAATATAAACAACACGACGCGACCGTGAGCCTGGGCGGAAAAGAAACTGAGAAGACGCTCGGCCTGCTCTGGCATGTACAAAGCGATCATATTGGATTTAATACTCACAATATGAAGATGCCTGCCGACGTAAAAGAAAAACAACGCTTGCCAACTAAACGTGAAGCGTTGAGCGTCATAATGGCTTTATTTGATCCGCTGGGATTAATATCACCAGTGACCACCCCAGCGAAGAGAATATTCCAAGACACATGGCGTTACAAGGCGGACTGGGACGACCCTCTGCCCACAGAATTAAAAGAAAAATGGGAAGACTGGATTACTTCACTTAACGCCATAGAACAACTGAGAATACCGCGATGCTACGATTACAACCCGGTGTCGACGCGCCAACTACACACATTCGTCGACGCAAGCGAGGAGGCCTACGGAGCAGCCGTGTATTGGAGAACGGAGCGAGCAGACGGCAGCGTTAACGTATCATTGGCCGCCGCCAAGAGCCGCGTAACACCACTGAAACCAGTCTCCATACCACGGCTCGAATTACAAGCAGCACTGCTGGGAGCTCGTCTCGCGCAGACCGTGGTCGAGGAGCACGATGGCGATATAGCGGGCAAGACATACTGGTGCAACTCTCGTACTGCACTGGTATGGATAAGGTCGGAGCCTCGCGCGTACAAAGCTTTCGTCGCTCATCGCCTGGCGGAGATAGAAGATACGACCAAGAAGAACGAATGGCGTTGGCTACCGTCTAAAGAAAACGTGGCAGACGACGCGACCCGATCCACGCCAGAAAGATTCGACGAGTCGCACCGGTGGTTCCGAGGGCCCCCGTTTCTGCAACGTCCACCAGCAGAATGGCCGCAGGAAGAGAAAACGACACAATACGACACCGGGGAAGAACGAGAAGTATGTAACATCGCAGTTAAAAGGGTAGACTCGCCAACACATCTGCCACAAATAGAAAGATTTGCAAAACGGATTCGCCTCATAAGGGCGACAGCGAGAGTCCTCCTATTCATCGACATGAGCAGACCAAACAAGCACGTGGTGAAGGCTGGGCGTAAACGTAACCGAGCACGACAAGATAGCGACCCTGGCTGGCAAAGAACAAACAAACGCAACACCCCAGCCAAGGAGAAAAAGGCAACTCCTACTGTCTCATCACTTGTAGGAATACCGGCCGCTTATCACGTAAGAGCCGAAAAACTGTGGGTGCAAGCCAGTCAGCGGGAAAGCTTCACGAAGGAGCTCAAGAGGATCGCCAACGGAAGTGTTCCGGGAGGTGACGACAAATTAGGCCACCTGAGCACATACGTCGATGAAGAGGGATCTCTACGCCTAAGAGGTCGAATAAAAGCAGCATCAGAAGTGGAAGAGGACACGTACAACCCTCCCATACTAGACGGGAAGCACGCATACACTCGTCTGTACATAACACACGTACACGAGAGGTTGCATCACGGAGGCGTGGAAACAGTCGTGAACGAATTAAGACAGAGACTGTACATAAGACAAATACGTCCAGTGGTGAAAACTGTCGTCAAAAGCTGCCTACCGTGCCGTCTAAGAAAAGCCAAGCCTGCATCACCATCTACAGGAAACCTGCCGTCCGCACGCCTCGCTCATCACGCACGTCCGTTCACATACACCGGACTGGACTACTTCGGGCCAATAGAGGTTACAGTGGGACGACATCGTGAAAAGCGCTATGGCGCGTTATTCACCTGCTTGATATCACGAGCAATATATATAGAGGTAGCCCACTCTTTAAGCGCCGACTCAGCCGTGTCGGCGCTCAGACGTTTTATGAGCAGAAGAAAATGCCCAAAGGAAATATGGAGTAACAACGCTACGTGCTTCAAGGCAGCCGACAAGGAGCTGGTCGAAGCAGCACTCGCAGCCCTCGAGCACGAAACCACATGTCGACAAATTGTGTGGAAGTACATACCGCCATCAGCACCGTTCATGGGCGGCGCGTGGAAGAGAATGGTTCGCTCCGTGAAAGAAGCTCTACGCGTCACCCTCAACGAGCGCTATCCCAGTGACGAGACCTTGGTGACCCTGCTCGCCTAGGTCGAAAACACGATCAACTCAAGACCTCTCACACACGTCTCAGTCGACCCAGAAGCCATCACGCCGAATCACATCATCATCGGTCCCAACTCGCACGTACCTGCGCTGGGACATTTCAGCGAGAATGACGTGACGGCCCGCCAGCAGTGGAAACGAGCTCAAGCCCTGGCCGACGTGTGTTGGAGAAGGTGGGTAAAGGAATACCTGCCCCTAGTCCAACACCGGCGGGAGCCCAGCAGCATAGGTGTATCACCGAAGATTGGAGACCTAGTCATCATTTGTGACTCCAATCTACCACGCAACATCTGGCCCAGGGGGAAAGTCAGCAACGTATATCCTGGCGTTGACGGAGAGGTACGAGTAGTGGACGTAACCACAAGCACGGGGCATGTACTACGAAGACCGACAAAGAAGATCGTCGTGCTACCAGAGGGATCGCAGCGTGGCGACGGCGGGAGAATGTGCACGACGCAAACATAGTAATACGTCGAACGAAATGACTTGCGGATTGCTTGTGGTAACCATCGCTAGTTGAACAACCTAGGGGCCGTGGGCGGGGCCAGGAGGATGTTATGATCGTCAGGCCGCGCTCACGGTTCCACAACTAGCGTTGGTTGCCCACAGCAACGCGGGAAAAGCCGTAGCAATAATATTGAGAAATATAGCTTTTATTGTTAAATAAATAGTATTGTAACTATGTAATAACTCTCGCAATAAAGGCACGGAACAACTGGCGAGAGTTAACATAGATTAGGAATATAGAAATTAATTAATGCCAAATTGTAGAATAAGTATTATATGTAAAATGTATTCTTTTGTATAGTGCAATTTAATTTCTTATATATTAAGCCTTTAGGCACGAAAAATAATAAACAGGGCATGTTACCGTGACGCGGCCGCGGAGCGAATGAGGCTACGCGCGCCGCGCCACGACGTTTTATATTTATAGTACTGAGGCGGGGGCAGGGTCCTCAGCTCAAAATTGCTGGAAAAACAACCTTTTAACCATTAGTATATAGAAAAATTGTTGTGTAAATATTAGTTTAATAAGTAGTTGTAAGAATGTTATATATTTAAGTCTGTTCGTTAGTTTATAAGAAATTTAACTAATAAAGAAAGGCGCGGGGGTGAGGCAAGGGTCCGCTGGCCAGCAACGGCCAAATCATATATAAGACGGGCCGGCCGGAACGGTCGGCAGTCGCTCTCCAGCTACAGAAAAGAAAACAACAGCAAGAAAAGAAAAAGTTCCTCCTCACCGCCGCTTGCCTCCAGTTTAAGCAAGACCAACGTGTTTCACTCATTTTTCGAACGGCGTTACGGCGATCCGTAACATTAATGGTCCTTCGAGAAGCCGGATTACTAGAAGAAAAAGACAATATCGGTCTTGGTATTACCGGAAGAAAGAAGCAACAAAGAAGACTAGTTAATTTATGAAAGGACCAGACCTACCATATTAATTGGTCAGGAGGTTAATTTCAGGAGGTAAGAACCTATCTGTGGCATCGTTCACCAAGCATGTATGGGTTTTACATGGTCACATGATAGGTGGCATTAAATCATTTAAAGTCGTTAACCACATTTCCACCAAGAGAGATGTGGATATAGAGGTTAATTAAGGATTATTTTAGCTTGGAGTCTTTGGGTGTATCTGCACGTTAGCTAGTGAACGGCTCCGAAGAACGAGCGTTGAGTGTTTTGAATAAATCTGTATGTCATATACATGACTACAAATACAAAGCTGGTTTGTTGTAGCGTACGGATGACGAACGCATGTCGTCGAATAATGCGCAGGCTGAAAGCTGCCTGATCAACATTGAAAATAAACTCGATAAGAATATCGAATTAAAAAAGAAATATGAGAAATGAGAAGTAAGTCGAAAATCTTATTGTTAACGGTTACGTAGAGAAAGCGTACCATATTTAGAAGGAAATAGGACTTGTTTTCGACGCAGCCGCAACTATTACATCTCGAAACCCACACTCGTTCACTATATAGTAAAGCGCAGAGGATTAGCTTGGATCCATGATAACCGAGCACACAGTCCTGATGGTAAATGGATCCTGTGACTACGAGTACATCTATCCTCGTTTAAGATGCACTGTCACCCCTGACGACTAAAATGCAACGCCACATTTCCAGTAAAACGGTCTCCGGTTCTCTACACTCCCCATACAAAACATAGCAGCATTAAGATAGTATTCTGTGGGAGCGTAGTGCTGTCCTTGGTCCTGGGAAGGATAGAGGATAAAATGTAATGTTGTAATGTGTAAAATTGCAAACCAAAAGTTTTGTTCGGATAGTCAGACAGATAGACAAACATTTTAAAATGGTTATACGCGTCTTAATAGCATACAAATAATCCATAAACTTAAAAGAAGCCAATTATTCCGATTGTCGATATTACAGACAAACACTTCAATTTTGTTGGTACGTTAGATGTATAAAAGTTAAATTTACAGCCTATATACGTCGCACTGCTGGACACAGGCCTCCTCTCATTTCTGTGAGGGTAATATAATTTTTTTTCTTATTTCTCAGACATACAGGTTTCCTCACCATATTTTCCTTCACTGCCGAACACGTGGTAAATCAGCACTTAAGATTGCAATAAACAATTTCATTGGTGCCGGCGGGGATCAAAACCGGGTTGTTCGAGTACTTTAAAACTTACAGCGAGCGCGAAACATCTGAGCTACTTAGATGATAGATACGTTAGAGATATAGATTAAATATTTATAATAACCAATTATTTATAAGACTTCACTGAAACCATGGGCATTAATCAATAAATGATCTCTCTTGGGATAATAATTTAAACTGCTTTTGCTTTAATGGAAAATAAAGTATAATTTACTGATGTTTATTTTGCCTTAACAAAATTGTGTTGTTCCTTTTTGTAATAATGTGTGTTCAATTGTGTAACATACATATAAAAACATAGTCTAATTGTGAACCTCTTCCTTTATTTAAGTCTGGTAAATAAAAAGACTTTTTGCTTTTCTCACAGTTGCTTCTAAAGATACCCTTGTAGCGATATTGATTGATGATCATCACGTTGAATAAAGGGGATTTAGTTTACGTGATTGTGTTTGTACGTATTATTGTTGCACATATTACGACTTTTATTGTAGAAGTTGTTATCGTCAATAAAGTAGCTATAAGAATCTAATGCAAAGAAAAACTAATAAGGTTTATTTATTGAGTGTACCGAACTGAGTTAAATATAAAATCCATTTTAAAACAAAACCAATGCCAAATATTAGCTAAATGTCAGCAAGTTCTTTAAAAGTTGATTACAAATTTTGAACTTAAAAGACATAGGAAGAAAACAAGTTATATAGACGCTTATAACAGTGTATTATTGTTCTTTTAATAACACTACGAGAAAAGTTTCATTAAAAAAAAAAAAAACCTTACCATTGCTAGCTGTGTCGTGTATACTCAATGCACAAAGCGAATGGGTAAACTAGTTTCATTAGACAAAGTAAACACGTAATATAATCTAAGTCTAAACTCGTTTGTGACTTTAAAAAAGTCTTTACTTGCAAGGCTTATATGGTGGTAATGGTTATAAGGTTGAGGTTTATTGAGTGTAATCTTCTATCGTTTTACTTTAATTTGATTCTTCTCACTTGATTTATTTTGAAACTTTGTTTTTACATAAGTTTTTATTAGTATTAATAGCTCTTACAAGAACCGCACTCGGAGGGGGAGACGAATTCTTCGGCCTTGTCAAATAGACGAGGAAAAGCTTTTGAATAAACTTTAGTCAAGACAAATTTAGCTAGTCACAAATTCAATAAATTGCTATAAGATACGTGAGGGAAAAAGTTTTGGTAATAATTAAGAACACTTCGATATCAACTTAAAAAAAAAACAGTTAATGACCATATGTACTATATTGTCAACTGTCAAAATGGCGTCGATAAAGCAGCGCCTTTTTGATGTTTTATTGATTGATTGACTGATGAAGAGCTATCGTATCACAATATCATCAATGCGAACAAGGCTATAGTTTTTGACTTATAATTCTCCATATTAACCGGATGACCAAATTACCCTCACGTATGCTTTTATGAGAGCCGTGGTAGCTCAGATGGTTAGCGCTCCCTGTAAATTTCACAGTACGCGAGCAACCTGTTTTCGATCCCCGCCAGTACGAATGAAATTGTTAATTGCTGCTTTTAAGTGCTAATTTACCACGTGCTCAGCGGTGAAGGAAAACATCGTGAAGAAACCTGCATGTCTGAGAAATAAGAAAAAAATATTTCGAAGACATGTGAAGCTCGCCAACACGCTTCGTGGCAGCGCGGCGGACACTTCTTCGACCTAAAACCCTCTTTAGGGTTTTAGGTGTCCAGCAGTGGGACGTATATTGGCTGTAACTTTAACTTCTAACGCTATGATATGAATTAACGTTTTTGGGCCACATTCAAAATCCTGCACAGAATTCGGGTACATTGTTAGAGTGCTAGTATTTCGCAAATTCTAACGTTATGGACTTAATAATTATCATTATTATAGTCCGCAGTCCATTATAGCTCCATATCATAGATTCATGATCCATGAACATAGGCCTACTCCAAAGACTGCATTAAGACATGGTTCTGCGATACCTGCATTTATCAACTTCGCAGCAGCGTATCAAGGGGGAGGGGCAGGAACGTCATGACTTCCGGCTTAAGATTTCAGGAGGCGGCATTTCAGGTAGGAAAAGTCAGTACCCAGCCTAAGCGCAAATTTTAGGGAGGCGATGGCGGTATTTTCGGCTCATGCGGCTCCGGTCGGCACCAACCTATGCTATGCCAATTCCTACACGCCTGCTCTTTGAGACTTCATTACTGAGAGAATTTTGGCTGGGCAAAGTCCGAGCACCGCTTAAATGCGTGTAGCCAACACGCATTTGGGCAGTTCTTCGGATATACATGTCTAAAATTGAAAAATATTTTGAGGTGTATATTTTGTATTACACTTCAAAATATTTCCCATCGTACACGTGGTAGATAAATCGGTACGTAAATTTCCAATCTACAATTGATTGGTGCCGACGGTGTTGAACTCTGCTTACTCACGTGCTATGAAATTTTAAAGCAAGCTAGTTTAGTTTAGTTTATCTTCACGCACAATCCCTGACGGGGTAGCCAGAGAGAACAGATCGCCAAGTGTCACGATCCTTACATACCACTTTCTTTTTTTTCAAGCGATTATTTAATATTAAATGTTTTGTAAGTGATATTATAATATAGCGATATAATGTAGCGTTCTTGGCATAATATCATAAATATTTCTTAATTAGAATAGAGAACATAATTTTAATAAAAACAATATTTAATTTTCACCTCGGACACATGTAAAATGATGTCTAAACAAACCTGCGCAGCGCCTTATCGGGTTAGTTTATTTGACGTTTTACATACATACAAAGATATGACCTGCCTTACTTCGCGTATTATTTTTGAAGGTAATAAAAATAGCAACA